CTGTCCTTATCTCTTGCAGTTTCTAGGATTCTCTCCTTCATTTTAATATTGGGTAATGTACTTATGATGTGCCTTGGTGTGTTCTTCCTTAGGTCCAACTTCTTTGGGACTCTCTGAGTTTCCTGGAAGTCTATTTCCTTTGCCAGATTGGGCAAGTTTTCCTTTATTATTTGTTCAAATAAGTTTTCCAGTTGTTGCTCTTCCTCTTCCCCTTCTATAATTTGGATGTTGGAACGTTTAAAGATGTCCTGGAGGTTCCTAAGCCTTTCCTCATTTTTTTTAATTGTTTCCTCATTCTTTTCTGTTTGGTCGTTTTTTTCTTCCTTCTGGTGTACTTGATTGATTTGAGTCCCAGTTTCCTTCCCATCACTATGCATTTCCCTGTGCATTTCCCTTCATTTCACTTAGTGTAGCCTTCATTTTTCCTCTAATTTGTGACTAAAATCAACCAGTTCTGTGAGCATCCTGATCACCAGTGTTTTGAACTGTGCATCCGATAGGTTGGCTATCTCTTGGTTGCTTAGAAGTATTGGCTCTGGGGGTTTGAGTTTTTCTTGAGCCATAATGTTTTGGTCTGTTCGCGCTTGTTAAGTGTGAGGAGCGGAGCCTTAGGTGTTCACCAGGGCAGGGCCACCCAGTTGCTGGGTTGTGATGCTTTATGTGGCAGCGGGGTCAGAGAGGGAACACCAGCATTTGTTCTGCTCTCTCTCGGATTTCAGTCCCTTACACCACTTCCCCCAAGCAAACTGGGCCCTCTGGTGCTAGTTCCCAGCTGGGTGGGCTTGTGTGCGTTCTAGGACCCTGTGGGTTTCTCCAACGAACTTTCCTGTGAGGGTGGGAGTCTCTCCCTGCGCCTCAACCCCACAGGTGTTTTCAGTCGGTGTTTTGAGGCTTTATTTCTCTGCACTGGGGCCCTGGGTTGCATGATCTGTCTCACTCCCCAGTTTCGCCTGGTTTATCTGCTCGGGAATGTGGGACCACCTGGTTAGCCAGCTGCCTTGCCTTGCGCACCCTGCCCTGCTTCACAGTCACCACCTCTCTGGGGCTGCCTGTTGCCACCCTGCACCTGGGGTCTGCCCGTGGCCAACTGGCATGCCCAGGGTGCCACTGCTTTTTTTTTTTGCTGCGGCCCCTCTCTGCCCAGCCACTCAGCTCTGCCCCTCCTACTGGTCTGGATGAATGTGTCTATTTTAATCCCATACAGTTCCATTTTCTGTCAGTTCTGGTTGTTATTTTGTTTCTAAATTGTTGTTGTCCTCATTTTGGTTGTGCGAGGAGACACAGTGTGTCTACCTATGCCTCTATCTTGGCCAGAAGTCTAACATTTTTCTAAAGAAGACATACAAATGGCCAGTAGATACTTGAAAAGGTGCTGAATATCACTAATTTGTCAGGGAAGTGCAAATCAAAACCACACCTCCTCATACCTGTTAGGATGGTTATTATCAAAAATACAAGAGATAACAAATGTTGGCCTGGTTGAAGAGAAGAGGGAACTCTTATACACTGTTAGTGGGAATGTAAATCAGTACAGCCATTGTGGAAGAAAGTATGGTGGTTCCAAAAAAAATTAAAAATATGCCCACCATATGATCCACCAAGCACTTCTGTGCTTCTGTGTGTATATCCGAAGGAGTGAAGTCAGTATCTCAAAGAGATACTTCCACATTCATTGTAGCATTATGCACAATAGCCAAGACGTGCAAACAACTTAAATGTTCTTTGACAGATGAATGGATAAAGAAAATGTGGTATAGCACTATGGAATATTGTCCAGCCACAAAAGGAAGGATATTCCGCCATTTGTGGTAGCGTGGATGATCCTGGAGGGCATTGTGCTATGGGAAAAAAGGGAAAGACAAATACTGTGTGGTTTCACTTTTATGTGGAATCTTTTTTAAAAAACCAGTTTTATTGAAACAGAAGAGAATGATGTTTGCTAGGGCCTGGAGCAGGTCAAAAGTACCAACTTGTAGCTGTAAGAAGAGTTAAGTTCTGAGTATCTAATGTACAGAAGAGTGACTATAATTAATATGATTTTGTGTATTCGAAGGTTGTGGAGCGTAGGCCTTAAGCATTTTCTCCATTAAAAAAAAAGTTAACTAAAAAAAAAAAGCTAACTAGTGAAATTACAGATGTGTTGATTATCTTGATTTTGGTAATCATTCCATAATGTATATGTATTTCAAAACATCACATTGTACACTTTACATATATATGTTTATATTTGTCGACTATTTCTCAATAAAGTTAAAACAAAGTTGGGGGATAAAAGGATGGCATGGTCAGTGGTATCAAATATTGAAAAGACGTCAAGTAAGAAAGGGTCTGAAGCATCCTTTGAGCTTAGCAATTGGACATCCATTAAGGTGAATGGGCTGCAGACCGATTTTAGAGGATGAACTTATTAGGGCTAACACTGACTTTTAGCATTGTCGTGGGACCCAGATACCAGTAGATTCACAGAGACACAGTGAAGGAAAACCAGGCTAGGAGTTCAAATATGTCAACCTGGTGTCTAGTCCCAGCTTTACTCTTAACTAGTTGTATATCTCTGGGTAGGTCAATTAATATTAATGAGCCTCAGTTTCTGCAAAGTAGAAATAGTCTCTTGTATATGCCTCATAGGTTTAAAAGTGCATGTGAAACATTGAATGTGAAAGTACTTTTTAAACTGTAAGATACATTATACTTTTTAAAAAATATATTTTATTGATTACGCCATTACAGTTGTTCTATTTCCCCCCTTCATTCCCCTCCACCCTGCACACCCCCTCCCCCACCCCCCTTTAGTTTATGACCACGTCTCAAGTTCTTTAGATTCTTTATTTCCCATACTATTCTTGCCCTCCCCCTATCTATTTTCTATCTACTGTCTATGCTACTTATTTTCTGAACCTTCTCCCCCCTTCTCCTTCTCCCACTCCCCTGTAGCTAACCCTCCATGTGATCTTCATTTCTATGGTTTGCTCCTGATCTGTCCTCTTAGTTTGCTTTTGTTTTAGGTGTGGTTCTTAATAACTGTGAGTTTGCTGTCCTTTCACTGTTTATTTTTTTTTATCTTCTTTTTCTTAGATAAGTCCCTTTAACATTTCATATAATAAGGGCTTGGTGATGATGAACTCCTTGAATTTGATCTTATCTGAGAAGCACTTTATCTGTCCTTCCATTCTAAATGAAAGCTTTGCTGGATAGATCAATATTGGATGTAGGTCTTTGAATTTCATGACTTGGAATACTTCTTTCCAGCCCCTTCTTGCCTGTAAGGTCTCTTTTGAGGAATCCACTGACAGTCTGATGGGAACTCCTTTGTAGGTGACTGTCCCCTTATCTCTTGCTGCTTCTAGGATTCTCTCTTTCATTTTAATCTTGGCTAATGTAATGATGATGTGCCTTGGTGTGTTCCTTCTTGGATCCAAGTTCTTTGGGACTCTCTGAGCTTCCTGGATTTCCTGGAAGTCTATTTCCTTTGCCAGATTGGGGAAGTTCTCCTTTATTATTTGTTCAAATAAGTTTTCCACTCATGGCTATTCCTCTTCCCCTTCTGGTACCCCTATAATTCGGGATGTTGGAGCATTTAAAGATGTCCTGGAGGTTCCTAAGCCTCTTTTCCTTTTTTTGAATTCTTGTTTCTTCTTCCTTTTCTGTTTGGTCATTTTTTTCTTCCTTCTGGTCCACTCCCTTGATTTGAGTCCTAGTTTCCTTTCTGTTACTATTGGTTTCCTGTGCATTTCCATTCATTTCAATTAGTTTAGCCTTCATATGTACCTCTAATTTGTGACTAAAATCAATCAGTTCTGCGAGCATCCTGATCACCAGTGTTTTGAACTGTGCACCTGAAAGTCTGGCTATTTCTTCATCGCTTAGAGTTATGGGCTCTGGGGGTTTGAGTTCTTCTTGAGCCACAATGTTTTGGTCTGTTCGCGCCTGTGAAGTATGAGGAGCGGAGCCTTAGGTGTTCACTAGGGCGGGGCTGCCCAGTTGCTGGGTTGTGATGCTGTATGTGGGGGTGGGGTCAGAGAAGGACTATAGGGGTCTCCTCTGCTGCTTCCCACTGCTGGGGCCTGTGCAGTCCGTCTCACTGCTCGCTCCTTGGCCGGTTTATCTGCGCGCAAATGTGTGACCGTCATCAGTCCTCAGTGGGTCTGCCTGCTGTTACCCCACACCTGGGATCCACCCATGGCTGCTTGTGCGCTGGGTCATGTGCTCGGGTCCATTCAGTGGATCTTTCCTGCCTGACCCTGTTCTGCTGCTGGCTTCGCCCCTCTTACTGGTCTGGCTGAGTCTGGCTGAAAGGTTTGTTGTTGTCACACTTCTGTATAGTTCAATTTTCTGTAGTTTGGCTGCGTTTTTGTTGCTAAAACTTTGTTGTTTTTAAACTTGGTTGTACGAGAAGGCACAGGGTTTCCACCTACGCCTCCATCTTGGTGGAAGTCCTCTACGTTATACTGCTTATTGAAGTTTTGGTGACTGTTTCATAGTGTTAAAAAGTCAGGTGTAGTATGTAATTAAGTCTGAGAATTTGGGAGGCCTATGGAAACCAGCCACCCTTGCATCCAGAACCTACAAAATCAACACCTTGGTGGATTTTAATAATCGAGAATAAATAGCTCTTGCATAGAATAACTATAATATTTTATCGGTTCTATTTGGCACTTTTATTGTGATGTTTTATTAATCTTTGATTTCTAATGTGTGTCCCTATTTTTGCCATTAAAAGCCAGAAAACGCTTTCTACATCTTCAATTCAAAATGAAATCCCAAAGAAAAAATCCAAGTTTGAGTCAATCACAACCAATGGAGACAGGTGAGCCAACTGGAGTGTGTATGCACGCTTCCGTTTGAAATGCGTACACAGTTCCTGAAACAGGAATACGTGGCACCGTGTGCCTTAGTGATAGTGTGTGGTTGTCAGTCCCAGAGTCACTATGCTTGCCACTTGGTATCTTAGAAACTGGCAGTACTGATATTTGTTTATAAATTTAATCTTGTCATTAAAAGACAGGGACATATAACTGGATTTATTAGCAGTCAAATTCTGCAATCCACGAATAACCGCACCAAAGTAATTCTAAGAAGTCAACAGTAGGATGCTTTCCATTATGACCTGTGCGTGTAGCCTTCTCCCGGCAGGCCACGAGTCAGGCTCGAGAGGCTGAGCAGAGACAAGATGGAGTTGGGCCGTGTTCTGTCTGAGGGATGATCTGCGCTTCCTTGGCCTGCAGAAAGACAGCACAATGCAGATGCTAGATCAGGAGTCAATGAGATGCATTTAAATTTTTTGTTTCCTTTTAAGCCTGTCTAAATGTGTTTTTTTTATTCCTTTTCATCTCTCCTCAGTGGTGCTTCCTCTTATGAGTTGCATTGTCTTAACACCCAAATTGTCCCATCCGTGTTGGTACAGCAGATTGCTTCCTAGCAGAGTTGTGGGCCCAACCATTTTTTCCTTCCCCAGCATCCTGAAGTGATGCCACCTGACACACAGTTCCCTAAAATCCTTGGAATCATTTCCATTCTGAAGATCCCTTCCGATCAGTTCTCCCTTCTAGCTAGTGGTAGTTTGGGGAGCAGACTGGCATATAGGCTTAAATAAACAAGCACATAGGCTTGTTTATATGCAAGTTATCCTTGTAAAAACTAGCTTCATTGATTTTAAACTTCTTGAATTGAACCTTCTAACATGCTTAACTTAGATGATCAGGTCACATGGGGGAAGGAACCATAAAGCCCATCTTTATGGTCAGCCTTACTGTTCTCTGAACAACTAACTAATCTGGTCAACCTGAGGAAAGTAGGTATGGCACAGATTGTCCCATCAGCTCTGCCAGGTCCATGACCCTGCGAAAACCACTTCAAAGAGTGAACCATTCTGAATGCCCTGCTTTATAAAGGTCTAAGCCAACACCCACAGCCTTTAGAGTCATCATTTCTGTCTGGTGCTCACTTCTGACCCTGGCTGTGTTTGAAGACCTGGAAAAAGTTCATTTGTATCCTTTCATTTAACCAACCAGTTCTTTCTTTTATTTTTTAAAAGATTTTATTTATTTATTTATTTTTAGGGGAAGGGAAGGACAGAGAGAAGGACAGAAACATCGATGTGTGGTTGCCTCTGGCATGTCTCCATACTGGGGACATGGCCTGCAACCCAGGCATGTGCCCTGACAGGAATTGAACCAGTGACCCTTTGGTTTGCAGGCCAGCACTCAATCCACTAAGCCATGCTAGCGAGGGTTCAAATAGACTCTTATAAAAATTAAGGGAAAAAAGTTTATCCATCCAAGTTCTGATTTTTTTTTTGTCTCCATTTTTTCACTCAGCTTTTCCCCAGATCTGGCTCTGGATTCACCAGGCACTGATCACTTTGTCATTATTGCTCAACTGAAGGAAGAAGTGGCCACTCTGAAGAAGATGCTGCATCAAAAGGATCAAATGATTTTAGAGAAAGAGAAGAAGGTATGGCTTGGTTAATGCCTCTCAGGTCAAAATGATGCCAGGGTAAGCTATGTGGAGTAGGGCATGGTGCTAACTCTATTTAACCGATATTTGTTGGGTACTTATCATTGATACTTGAGAGAGATCCAGTGGCAAGGCTGGGGTATTCTGGGGATAGGCTTGCTGTCTGCTAAGAGGATGTATGGCATGGTATTACCGTAATGAATCCACCTCAGCCCAGTGGGTTTAGAAAGTTGATTTTCTCCGCTTTGGAGGGACCTTACCCTTCTCAGGGAGAATTTGTGTTAACCAAGCTTACAGAGATGTTGTATAAAACTCCAGTGTTCCCTCTTAATTCACAGTGGGGCGCATAACTGAGTACTATTTTTCTCAGCATGAGCTTCCTTAGAAGGTTGTAATCAGAAAGTGTAGATTGAGCATGGTGTTAGGGTAGAAGGAGGTAGTTATGTAATTGGAATTTTTAATGCTCTCAGGCTAAGAGAACCTGATGCCTCTATCATGTCTGTGGGACAGTAAAACTCAAAATATGTGGGCCAGGTCTCCCTTCTCCCCGGACAGTGTTCAGGTAGGCCTTCCGTTGTGGCTTTTGCGTCACTTTGCTTCTATTGCTATCAGTTGCCCTCCTGAGTGATTCACTCTTTAAACATGTTAATATCTTCAGTAAAATCTTACTGTTCTCAGTATTCCTCCCTCTTTAAGGTGACTTTTTATATCCTTGTTCTGATTCATGTCTGGCATTTCCTTTTTTCTTTTTTAAAGATTTTACTTATTTATTTTTAGAGAGAGGGGAAGGGAAGAAGAAAAAGAGGGAGAGAAACATTGATGTGTGAGAGAGAGAGCAATAGGTTGCCTCCCGCACGCCCACTACTGGGGACCAGGCCCGCAACCCACGCATCTGCCCTGACCAGGAATCGAACTGGTAGCCTTTCAGTTCACAGGCTGGCGCTCAATCCATTGAGCCACACCAGCCAGAGCTCATGTCTAGTATTTCTTATTTTCACATTCTTAGAGAGTATCTCATTTTTGCCTTAATACATATATTAATGATGATAATAATAATAATAGCTAATTTCTGATGGATGCTTACTATGGGCCTAACTCTATTCTGAGTGCTTCATGTGTATTAGCTCATCCTCATAATAGTTCCTTCGAGATAGGAATTATTATCATTACTTTATAGATAAAGAGTGCATCCAATTTTTTTTCTCTTAGGATTCCAATCCTAGCTGTTTTTCCCCTGGGCCTGTATGTTGCCATGTACCAAGTTTAGAGTGCTATTATTCATTCCAGTGGCTAACAAAGACATTTATGACATAAAACCTTCAGGTGCAGTCTTGCGATCTAATTTCCACCTCATTTTATAGAAGAGGAAGTAGACCTAAAGAAGTAAATAACATGTCCAATTCACACAATGGCAGAACAAAGGAATAAACTCAAATCTGTCCCACTGTACCATTCTTTCTACTGTTCTCTGCTTTCTTCTTCCAGTAAGGTGGCGATTCATGGAAAGAGACCAATAGTCTGATGGAGTGGGGGTGCGGCTTGGTGGAGGGAGGCAAAGGGGGGAAAATTGGGACAATTGTAATAGCATAAAAAATATAATTTAAATAAAGAGACCAGTATTCTTTACTACATGACTATCATATGAAAGTGGACCCAAGTATATTTTCTTCATAGACTAGATCAGAATGGCACATAAAAGGATTTTTGCAAAATAGAGACAAAACAAACACTTGTTTCTACTGCATTCCAAAGTTAAGGTTTTAAAAGGAGCAAACACAAATAGTAGATTTTTCCCTATAACTTTCAGGATCAAAGTCACACTTCTAGGCTCTTTCCTGTCCTGCCTGTCTCTGGTGTCATCTGCTGCCATTCCCCATGCTCATTGGTCATTAGAACAAGCTCTTGGTTATCTCACACCTGCCTGTGCCTTTGCTGTTCACTTTGCTTAGGTGCCCTTGTCCTTCCTTCATGTTTCAGTTGCTGCCTGTGCCTCAAAACTCAGCTCACACATTTCTAAAGTGTTTCTTCTTTTGCTCCTTGAATGGCATAGTTAACAGGAGAAGGCCTGGGGTTTGAGTTCTAGCTCTGCCACTTGCTAACATGTATGATCTTGGCCATGTTACTTAACCCTTTCTAAGCCTTGGCTTTTCCATGTATAAAATGGGAAGAATAATATTATCCCCCACAGGAGTACCATAATATTGAATGAAGTAATTGATCAGTTTGCTTGGAACAGGGTGAAAATTCAGTAAATGGAAGCAGCTCTTATTCTCATGGCCCCTCTGAAACCATCAGTCAAAGTGCATTATAATCACTGATTTATTTGGAGGTGGGTATTTAGAGGCATACATAAAATCTTTAAAACCTGCTAGTGGCTAAGTGGGAGAAATACTGCTTCAGGATCCTGTGTACCTTTCAGGAAATCTTTAGAAGAAATAGGATATGGAATTCCCTGGCTTTGATTTAGGTATGGATCTTCAGGAGAGCGCTGGACCTAATTCATTTGGGGGACCACTTAGCTCTCCGGTACCAAAACATTTTTCATTGTACAGAAATTTCTTCAGGTTACTCTGCTTTTTCCCCCTCAGATCACAGAGCTGAAGGCTGATTTTCAGTACCAGGAATCTCAGATGAGAGCCAAAATGAACCAAATGGAGAAAACCCACAAAGAAGTCACAGAACAATTGCAGGTGATGACTGCTTACTGTATGTGATAACTGGTGCATTTAGCTGATTATATTTTAAGTGGTTGTTTTATCTCAAAGTGTTGACAAATCACTTTAATATCCCCTTTATATGTCTTTTATTGTTTCACTCTTAGATGTGTTCTGATCTTTTCCCTTCAAAAACAGCAGAATTAATAAAAGGGTTCTTTGATTTTTGGATAAACCAGATGTGATTCCAGTTGTGTGAATCACAAATTCTGTTTATCCACCACATTAGGGGACTCCATGGTTTTTGATGGATAAAGCATCATTTTGTAGCAGTGGATCCCAGGAGACTGAAGTATACTGATTAACCTCCAGCAAATACTACCTTCTCTCCCCTGAATCTAGATGGCTTTCTTTTGTTTTCTCTAAAATTGTTTCGTCTCTACCCTGGTGGGACAGCCCAGTTGGTTAGAATGCCATGCCATTATGCCAAGGTTGCGGGGTTCAATCTCTGGTCAGGGCACATACAAGAATCAACCAATGAGTGCATAAATAAGTGGAACAACACATCAGTCTCTCTCTTTCTCTCTCTAAAAAAATAAAATAAAATAAAATTTAAAAAACTTTAAAAACAAAATAAAATAAAATTTGTTCATCTCTTCCTGATCCTCTACATCTGCCCTAGCATCTGCATGAAAAACATACTCTATCCTGTTGAAACATCCTTACGCTGATTTTTTTTAGGCCAAAAACAGAGAGCTCCTGAAGCAAGCAGCTGCCTTGTCCAAGAGCAAGAAGTCGGAGAAATCAGGAGCTATAACCTCTCCATGAGAGACCACAAGGAGCAGTAACAGTAGTAACAGCAAATGGATTTCTGGGTTAGGGTTGGAGCCTTGGGAACTGCAAACTTTCTTAAGAAATCTCTATTTTATTACTGTTATCCTTCGTGTGATTGCAGTGGGCTGGATGGAAACACCTGGTTTGTGCTGTGTTGTGACTGCATGCTTGAATGTTTGCAATTTCCAGCTCTTTTTATCTTACCCTTTCACGCTCCCAGTCTCTCTCTCTTCCCTCTTTCCCTACCTTCTCTCAGAACTATTAGCTCTCTCTTT